GGCTTCGCCGTCTTCCGTGATGACCCAACGATTATCCTGTCGACGTCGCTTCTTCAGCCGGCGGTGACACGCCTCTTGATCCCTGGACGAAGCCACGAGTCACCGTCGCGATCCGCCATTGCGGCTCTCGCTGTTTCACCCCTTAACCATCCCTTCGTCCCTTTGATTTTCAAGGCTTTTTTGTTCTCCTTCTCCCACCCCCTGGTGGCTGGTTCGCGCGATTCCGCGCGTTAGTTAAGCCGCCGACCACCTTTTTCCTCTCTCTGCGTTAAAGTCGTTCGAGCGGGCAGGAGCGTACGCACGAGCGCTCCGCCAAAGATCGCGTGGATAAAACGCGGCCCGCCGGGGGCGTGGCGGCTCCCTGGTGGTCCATCACTGGCCTGGCCTCCGGTTCCTTTTGCGTGGGCAACGAAGAAACCCCCGGCGAACGCGTCTTCCACCATCCTTTTCGTATATTTGGATACCAGGTTCACGTAAGTAGACTTGGCTTCATTCAGTCATCTTGACGATTTCTCAGGATTTTTGCATTTTTCAATGTCGTTTCGTATTGCTTTTGAAGGGGGACGTAGTTACCCGGTGGTTTCATAAACGGTGGTGATATATTCGAAAATGTGTAAATAATATTCGTAGAGATATGGACCTGTTCTCGAATTTTAGCGAAGCTTCCGCTTTTGAAAGCCACATTACCAACAAGATCAACAATGAAATCCCTTGTCTCGGCGCAAGCTGAAATTGAAAATTTCTAACTCCATGCCTCTTTCATAAATCTCGGATTTACACTTCTCCTACGAGAAAACATTCGTTTCGTCGTATTGCCGGAAGTTGAAGAGCTGAAACGGCCCGAGTAAAGGAAGATTCCTTGGATAACGCCGGCCTGCTCGTTTCCCTTTTCACGAGGCCAGAAGCATGAAACGTTTCTCGAAGACGCGTCGCGTCGGAGATCTCAATCTCGCCGGATCACGATCCGCTATTAATAACCGCGAGTAGGACCGAGATGGCTAATTGACCGCGGCGCTGTCCATTAGGCCATCCTTTCGGCCATTTCCCCGAGGCTTCCCGCGCTCGACTTCTACTCGATTCATCTGTCCGTCGCCATCCGTGCTCGTCTATCCTCGCTCATCCGCTTGGACGTGCTTCCAAGCGGATTCCACCCGGGGAAACGAAAGCAACACGAGACCCAGCGTCCCAGAAATCGTAAAAGGTAAATTCTCGATGCCGATCTCCTCGCGGTACCGAGCAACGACCACCGTTTTTTATTTCGCGTAATTAGGGTTGTCGATGAGAGGCCTACGACGAAGAAAGTAAGAGGGAATATCGAGATGTCGAATCTCGCGTTAGAAGTTTCGCTGGTGGATTACAATGGAATGCCGCTGGCTAACTGTTCGTTACTCCACCGTAGGAGTGTATGTTCAAGAAATTTAAAATTTTCAAGAAATTTAAGAATTAATCCTAAATCCTTAGACAAGCTTTAGTTCCTTATTCTTAGAGAATCTTTCGTCATTTGCAAATGACTTTTCTATTCTCCGTGTAATATTCATTTAATAATCAATAATGTCTAACTTGCCAAAATATGATGGAACTTGATTTTCTTATTCGTTAATTATTATTATAAAATAATTAACGAATAAGATATAGAATAATTAACGAATAATAATTAAAATAATATCGTTAATTATTATTATAAAATAAAAATTTTATCATATCATAATATCATGTTATACTGAATATTGTTATAAAATAGAAATTTCTGTTCTAAGGCAAAAACGCTTCCATCCAGAATTACAATATAATTGAGATCAAATACACATTTCTCTAAAAGCAAGTATAAAATATATTCCACTCACCGTATGCCGCAATAATATCAGCCGGCGATTCATCGTGAGGCATCGATGACATTGATTAACGATGGACTTCCAAAACTTTTCTTTGCGATTTTTCTGATTCGAAGCTGCCCCGGTGACCGCAGCTCTGGTGCAACTCTGGTATCTTGCAGAAGCATCGCGTGGGTCGATGGCAGGTGGGAAGACCAAGGGGTGTGCACCAGGAAATATTCTTCTCGCGGACCTGCAATTAGAACGGACACGACGTGGGTGAGTAAAGGTGGACAGTAAATCAGTCCGCGTTTAAGATACAACGGCTGGGAGAAAACGAGCCACGTGCAAAGATCGACGAGATGAGACCGTTACATCAGGTGCCATGTTGCAGCGATCTCAAGTGAAATTTCATTTCTAGAGAAATTTTCTTCAAATTTATTTTTAGAGTTAAACGTAGCAATTTTTCAGAGTTCAATGTAAATTTGAAGTTTGTGTTTTAATGCTTAGAACATTGTAAAACATTTGATGTGGGCATTTCTTACGATTAGAAGATTAGAATCCTTTTCTATCATTTCCCTTTAAAATAATTCCTTAATCTAATCTAAAAAAAATTTTCAAAATGATATCAAAAAGCTAATTGAGAAGCAAGTAAAACGCTAACGAAATATCAAATACCATAAATCTCCAACTTTGTAACTAGTATGAAATCCAAGAATTTCCTCTTACCCAACAAATCTCAATCATCGTTCTAAACCAACCTTCGATTTTCGAAATTCACAAAATCTCACCCATAACTTCGAACCCCAAACGTCAAAAAATTAATCACTCCAGTCCCACCCCGGCACCAATAACCACAAGGGCGTGACGGTAAGAGGCAGCAGACTATCGAGTACAATAAAACCAAGCAAGTAACAATATACAAAATTCGTCACGGTCGCGATACGAACGCGTGGTGGCACGATGGAAGATCGAGGCCACCACCCTTAACAGACGGTCCCTGACAAATAGACGATGCTTGGCTCGTAGAGTTCGAGGGTGAGGAGACTTCCTAGGCGAATTCATAGACGGCCAGGAATGCGCAATATTGTCGGCAGTCTGTCACATATTCGATCCGGTCAGCCTTCGAGATAAGGCAAGCGGCGTGATCGCGGTCGTTTTATTACACGCGTGCAGCGGTGGCCCGCAGATGTATCAGACAATAAACTACGGCCTGTTTGGGATTTGTGGGCCGCGTATTAATCTTACTGTATTTATGTGTCGGCCCACCGGACGAAAAAGCGGTCTCCAGTCATCAAGAGGCCGGCGAGGGAGAGCGCGAGCGCGCGATGAAAGCATCGATTTCAGATAAAATCGAGGCTTACCCTTGAAAAAAAGGGATTCGTCCCGGTAAACGACAGGAGCGGGGATTGTTGGTTAGATCGGGCACGCTTGTCCTCCTTTACTGGACGAGTTTTGTTTTTGGCCTTCGTTGGTGGTCCTCCTTTGTTGCGGGGGTTGGATCGAAGAATTGGATATTGTATTCCGTGGACGATTCAGTGGTAAAGGGATGCTATCTGACGCATCCAGCTCGGAAACAGCTACTTTGCAGAATAAAAGAGGAAAATTAATTGTAATCTTTGATAATAATAACTGGATGAGTGTTGAAAGTTTGAGGTATTTCTGTCATTTGTTAATTTCTTTTTCCAGAAAGCTGTGACATCCTTAAATATCTACGTAGATTCATTGAGTTTGTACGTAACTCTTCCTATAACAGTGTAACATCTTTTCTTTTCATCAGTGTTATCATTGGTCAGTATCTAGAATCTTTAGAAAACGTGACAAATTTCTCTTAGTTTTCACTCTCTAAATTATTATGTTTATAAAAGTACAAATTTTTGCAGGAACATCCATAGATATTCTGTATCTATATTAATTTAAATATTAAGCTTGAATATTTCTTACATCATTCTCAGTGAAAATCGAAAAAGACAAAAGCGAAGATGCATTCGATAAAAAGAAGTGGTTGAGACGCTGCTCATCGTTCGATTTGCGTTTTTCGTCGAGCAGGTGCATATCGACGTTATGTTAATAGGCATTCAGAAGATTTCGGTTAACCATATGCTATCCAACGAGGGTGGAAGAGACGCGTGGAGTGAGGGCAGAAATACTAATAGAAGCCGTTCGCAGAAGCAGGCTTGAATAAACGGTGCTCCGTCCAGCCAGGTCTAATCATTTCTGGCCGCCTAAGAAATGCTGGAACGGAAGCCAATTTGTAAATTGCCTCGATAAACCACCAAACCGATGCTGAATTTGTGGCTGAACGGCTCTTCACTCAGCTCCTAGCTTATAGTTATATCTCTTTTTATTGCATCGTTTCCTCGTAATTATAGAGTTTTCTGTATTTTAGTTTACTGGTACCCGTACTGCCTTTTTATATGTTCCTTGTTCCCTTCTTGATCATTCCAACGGAAACAAATTCATTTAAAATTCTTTTCAAAGATTTTTCGATGGACGAAATTTCTATTCTTCTCAAAGTCAGTAATTCTTCCAATTTATCATAGCAATCCTCAATAAGTGCAACGTTTGCTTTAATTTCCTGTTAACTTTCTGCAATATCATGTAACCCCAACATTGTGATTCAACACTGACGCTCTCAGATTCGATACATTTTCTCAAAACATGCTGTTCTGCGAATGCAAGCACCACGATCAGCTGATAAAAATCAAGTTATCTCGGTGTTTCGCGACAAGCAGCCGCGTAACGCATGCGCTGACGCCATTAGAATATCGTGGCTGCATACCGGGGCCCCGAAAACGAATGCCAGCCAAGGGAAAAGGGGTGACAGGGCCGACCGAAATGGAAGGGGTTAGCAGGATCGCCGGCGCCTTTGACCGGGAACCCCGTGGCGCGCGACATGCCTCGTCTGACCGCCATTTAGCGTGAACCTGTCTCCGGTGCAAGCCACTCCACTCTCGGAACTGGCCGTTTCGTTTTCGAAAACGGAATGTTTCGTCTGATGACGAACAGTTTTCGCCATGGGAAGCGAAAATTGAAGATATTGTACATCGAGTAAAAAAGGAGGCTTCATGTTTACAAGATGTTGTGAATCCTTTAGATAACGAGACACTCGTGATAATAACCCCACGAGATATTTACTTACTTTCTTGTAAAATTAAGACACCATTTTTTTCAATATTTTATAAAGGATTAAAGAGCTTTACAGTAAATTGGATAAATCGAGTCAAAATCAAAATCGCTTTGCCAAACTTAATATTAATTTATTAATTTATTACTATTCAATGAATATGCAAATACTTTTCAGCTGACTTATGTATATTTTTTTCTTATACAGATACAATTTAAATGTTGAAGCTACCTTTTTATGACTGTAAACTCTTCAATTGTAATCGATTGTTATAAGAAGTTAATAATCAACAAAACTTACTGTTTGTACAAAAGTGCTGAATTGTGAATATTCAAAGGTGAAATGGAAGGACTGGTGTCGTTGAGATGTTACAGGTTATAGGTTCTTTGGATGATAAATTTAGAAAATACTGGAAGACACTGGTGATGTAAAAAGAAAATTAAATTAAATTGTATATTTTTTATATATTTTATTAGTATTAACATTGATAATTATTGAGAAGACTTACTATTTGTATCAGAATATTCAGCTACAGATGTTGGAGAATAAAGTAGAAATATTAATATTATTGAACTATTGTACATTCTTATGTCGAAATCTTCAAGGACACACTGGGAAACACTGGACACCTACTTACATATAATCATAAAATTAGTTAATCATTTTTTAAATATCTTATTAAGAGAGATTAATTACTCTTATGAGAACTTACTATTTTTCTAAGTGCTGCATTGCAGGTGTTAAGAAAGAAAGTTGAAGTTTGTAAACCGTCAAATTGTTTGGTTAGAACAGGAGTCACTAATGACAGCTGCTTCGTGAGATACCTATTTATCATATAAATTGAATCAGATTGCTATTTTCTAAATATTCTACAAAAAAATGCAGTCAATTACTGCTGAGAGAACATATTTTTCAATATTACTTACAATTTTTACGGGGAACACACATTACGAGAAACGACAGTTGCAAATATTATTTCATGTGACGCTACCGTAGATGGCGTTATTGTAAACGCGCGAAAATTAATTGAATAATTATTGGATCAGATATAAGTATACATTAATTCTTTGTATTTATCATATTATTATTATTAGCTTCAATAAATAAGAAAAAAAAAGAAGCACATAACTGAATCAACTATGTACTTTAAGTAGAAATATTCGGATATAACAATAATAGTTAAAGATTGATATTAAAATTCTTTTTAAATTGGATTGATATTAAAAAATTTGTTCAAGTAAATTACAGTTATTTAACATAGTCACTTCAAATTTAGCAATTACCTAAAGAATCTAGCAAGTAAAACTGGCCGACGATGTCTTCTTGGATGGCAAAACGATGCCAGGATGCTACTCCATTCCACCTACGCGAAGTCGTGGTCTGATCCCGTGGTCGAAATTTCTGTGTGTTTGTCGAGCAGCAGTAGTAGGTCCTGGAGTTATGTTACGGCTGGCCATAAACGAAATGAGAAAACTGTCCGGCCGCCGTTGAAAAATCTCCGCGGAATACAAATGCTTGATTTTTTCGGGCAGCGCTCGCTTTTTGTCGGCCGCGCCTACGAAGCTTTTTTCGGCCCCAGGTCGAACGTTTCACCTTCGACAAATGGCACATTGATTGTGATTTCAAAATACGATGATGATAATAATAATTGAAATTGAGGTTATAACTCAAATGCAAAATTAATTCACTCTCTTTAATATAATGGGCAACATCATTGTCACTAATATTATCAACTTGATAAAATGTATCCATTTTATCAAGTAATTCACATCAATGGAATTACCTATCATTAACACTACAACTACCAAAAATACTATGGCACCAATTATATAATAATAGCCACTCTATAATAGAATATAATAGCTACTCTATAATAAAATACCTAACAAAATATAATTATATATTTGAACGTGTATCGCAGACCAATAGATTTAATATCAAAACCACAGCATATAAAAATTCCCCTACCCAAATTATCAAAAAACACCAAGCTGTCATGATATACCTTGACTGGCTCTTCATCAAATCCTTTCATGAAGCATATCTAGCGTTTCCAAATTAATCAATAAATTAACGAAAGTCGAAGAGACAGTCGCTCTTGAATACGGGACCAGTCGATCGGTGGCTTTTCTTTCGATTCATGGCTCGCAATTAATCTCGATCTTGTTCCCGTAGCATGCTGTCGCGGGCCTGTACGGTCGTTAATTCGGTGCTGACGAAGGCACCCGACGTAGTAGTGGGGCTAGACGGGCAGTGAGGGAGAGGAGTTGGGGCCCGCTTTCGGGGCCCCGTTCCGCTTGTAAGAAGCGAACACGATGACATTCGTACCAGGGCCCGAGAAAACGAGTCGGGCTACATGGAAGCCTACACGAGCGAACGGACGATTCGGAATCAGATGTTATCTTTGACGAGGGCTGCCGCTAGTGGGGGGAAGCCGGAGGCCCTTTCTCAGTGCCCCGCGCCAAGATACGGATCTCCTTGGCGCCACCGTCTCCCGGGCCCTTAGCCACGGCCACGAGGCCACGCAAGTAGCGATGGCCACCACTCCGTTCTTCTATTTTTTGACCTCGCGAACTTTTGTGCGGTTTAATTGCGCCTCGGCTGGATTACTTGCCTCCTGATTGTTTGCTAATACCAGTGATAAAGTAATCTTTATCACATCATATTCCTTTTATCGTTTTTCACAATTTTTATACTGCCACTTGGAATTTGATCCGAATGCAATTTCATTCTTAGATCCTTTCTTCTAAGATGTTATTTCTATCAAGAAAAATTCAAATTAATTAATGATTTATTGTATGATATAACGCAATAGAATGAGAAAATGTGATAATTATTGAAAGACAACTTACTTCTGCATGAAACAATACAATTTATGGTTTATCTTTTTCAAATTTCTTGTACGTTTCGCAACAATATCTTTATAAAGTTGTTGCTTTCACGTTCTTTACAGTCCTGCTTCCTTTCTTTACAATCTGTAACATCCATAAACGGTCGTTTTCCACATTCTACTAACAAACAACAAGTCGAAAACAAAAAAACAAAAAAAAAAGGAGTCAAAGCGATTCTACCAGGTGATTCATGGCCTCTTCAGTCCATCACTACGACAATAGAGACTGCTGTCGGAACTCCGAAAAGCTGGCTTTCGAGGGCCCTAAACGCGGTTTAAGCGTAACCGATACCCCAGCGGGGGTCCCAGCACCGGTCCTCTTTGCGTCTGCCATCGAAAATTCGTTTTGACGATTGACAACGGCAACGAAAGAACGAACGATGAGGGACGGCCGGTCAAACGAATGATTCCACCGGTTTTCCTTTATCCAGCTCCTCGCGTTCATTATCGTGGGCACGCGTGTCTCCTGTAGCTTGGATGATCCATCTCATATCGAGGGATCAATCGAAGCCGGATATGTCCGATTGAATTTACCGACGGGACACCGTGTTCCAACCGTATCCTGAAGACGTTAATCCGCTTGGATCGTGAGTTATCGTCCTCCCACTCCAGAGGAACGCGGTTAATTTGCCGGCCACAAATGCTTCCCCCTGCGCAATTGTACTAACATTAGTAGTGGAATTTTTCAAGTTATCAGCGTTAATAAACATCCTTGCATTATATTGATAAATTTGCCAACTAAAAAAAATGAAAGTTTACAGGTTTCACAGATTGTCATTACATGTCAAAGAATTACGAAAGAAAGAATCGTAAAAGAGAAATCTCTGTTAAATTTAAATTAAAGCAAGGAATGCACGTACCGGCAATAGCACAACTCGAGACAATAGTCCTTTTATTACTACGAAGATCCTAATCTTCAATTCATTATTCCTGGAACAAAAAGAAATATATAAAATTCCAGTCAAAATCGTCAGAAACAGGAGAGAAATTGAAAAGCGAAAGAACACTTCACAAATCGAGCCCATGGTTGAAAAACCCCGAGCAATCGAGATTTTAATAAACGCATCTAACGTTGCGTCGTTTCAAACAATAGAAAATTGCACGTACGGTATGCATCGGCATGGTTGAGCAGATACAGCGTATAATTTAGTAACAGGGGCCGGGGGTTCCATGCAAATATCGAGAACAATGAAACGACGAGGCTCGCATTAATTAAGTCGTAAGCAGAATAGGAGACGTTCTTCGATTCGTTGATCGAGCATCGTCGTCGCTCGACTACGGTTCGCGAGGAGAGCCGAGTTAATTGGCTCTCTAACCAAATAATTGACAGTAAGTAGGAAATGAGAAGTTATTCCTCGTAGGAGTTGTTTGTCGTCTCCCACTTTTCTTTGCCCGTCGCTATCGCGGATCGACTCTGGCGAATTAACGAGCGAACGTTGTAATTAACCACTGTCAGGGAATCAGAGCCCCCTCTTCTGCTTCGATGTTGAAACTTCTTAGAATTCATCGAGTTCAACCGATCCTAACATCGTTCAATGAATATTAGACGCTTCTTAGATCTCCAGCTATATGCTCAACTATGCTCGACTCTATACATCTCTACACAAAGATTATCTATTATCATGATAAACGAATTATTCGAAGAAGAGAGACTTGGTCACGCGAGAAACAGGATTTACTGGGACCGACAATTGGTAGGTAATCTCTTCAAACTTGTCCTCTACTAGAATAGTTACCATCTAAAAATTATCGCAATAAGTTTATCGTTACCTCAAAAGATTTTCCTAATTCCCGGTGAATGGGCTCCCTCCAGCGTTGCATAGAAACATTCTTCATTATAATCCTAGTAAACTAAACTTATGGCGAATGATCCTAAGTCTCTCTTTACCGAATCAAGTCCCGTTGTCGTAAAATTGTTATTGTAATGTGCATTATGTGCATCTGAAGTATTTTTTTTTT